ATAGTGAGATTCTGAATTCTTCCTTTTTGGCTTGGTCCTTCAGGAGGGAGGTATTATACCGAGTCCTGTATGCTGTTTGCTCGGTATAATGTCTCTTTAGTTTTAATTTCATCCTGGCCACAAGAAGATGATGATCTGAGGCAATATCAGCTCCCCTCTTAACACGTACGTCTTGGAGAGATCGCCTGAATTTTTTACAAATACATATATGGTCTATTTGGTTCATCGTTCTCATGTCCGGAGAGACCCATGTAGCTTTGTGAATCCTCTTGTGCTGGAAAATGCTCCCCCCCTATGACCAGGTCATCTGTGGTACATAGGTCCGCAAACCTCTCACCATTGTCGTTCATCTCGCCTATCCCTTGCTGTCCCATAACCTCTTCGTACCCTGTGTTGCTATTGCCGATCTTGGCATTAAAGTCTCCCATGTGGATGACGATGTTCCTCCGTGGGCGATCCTGGACTATGGTCATTACTCTATTGTAGAATTCTTCTTTGTCTCCTTCATAACTTTCATTAGTTGGTGCGTAGCATTGTATAACATCTAGGTTGATGATACGTTTCTTTGTTCGAAAGGTTACTAAAAGAATTCTAGGTCCATGGGCCTCCCATCCAATGAGTGCTCCTTGTGCTGCCCTTGATAGCATCATAGCAACACCCAGGGTATGTGGGGCATTGTCTTCTTCGTGTCCCGAAAATATCACCATCTCTCCTGAGATTAATCTCTTCTGTCCCCATCCAGTCCATCTTGCTTCACTAATTCCGAGAATGGTGAGCTTATAGCTCCTCATCTCAGCGGCTATTTGTGCCGCTTTACCAGCCTCGTACATGGTGCGGACATTCCAAGCGCCAATGACGGTGGTAGTCCTGGTAGAGATGATGGTTGTCGGCTTAATAGCTTCCAGGTTTCGGCTTTCACTATTAGGCGTCATATTTTCCTCCTCAAGGAATCCATCCTCTCCCAGGACTGAAATGTCTTTTGTTACTCTTTTCGGTGCTTTTGTAACTATGATTTTTTACATGGCAGGGTTGTTGGCCTTGCGCACAACCACTTGGGGGGTTGCCCCTCACAGCTCAATGGGTAGCTGCCTTTGTTCGGGTTAGGTCCCTAGCCTTTGTGGATCCCTCCACTTCCTACAAGGCAGTAGGGCTGATTTTGGTCCGCCCCGGGTATTTTATTTCCCCGGTACCCTCCATATCTGGCGGGCTTTCCCCTATCCGCCGGCTGGGGAGGCGCTCGATAGAAGATCAGCATCTCCCACGAGTTTCTCCAGTTTAGCTTTAGAAAAAGTTTCTTTTCAGAAGTTATCAATCTGAAAGAAATCCATTAATTATTTTCTTGGTGGGGGTTATGTTGAGAGGAGTAAATCAAAGAGTCTTACAGAACGTTCATTATTTAGTAATTTAAAATGAAGAAAGTTATAGTTATGGTAGTTATAAACTTTCTAAGTAACTGCATTTTAAAAAAAAAAAAAGGGGGGGGGGGGAATTTCATGCTGTCTCACTTTCCCTTTAAAAAATCACTTATTAAATAACTATATTTCGTCTTTTGTAAATATTCTCTTTTTTATACCACTTTAGATGCAATTCACAATTTGAAATTACCTATTTTAAATAGCCATTCAAAATCTATAGCACTTTTCAACAAAAAATCTATAGCACTTTTCAACAAAACAGTTTTTTCCTCATATTTTCTAACTGTAAATTATGGGGAAAACTGCTCAAGTTTTAAAGTAAATCCAAAAGGATAATTATTATAATACATACTTAAATATCGTTTGTCGTTGTTTTTTTTGTTTTTTTCATTAACGATCATCTGCTTTGAAAAGATTTTTTTTTTAAAATATAGGCCTATATTTATATTATTATTCATTCATTTATAAATTAGTTTGAAAAAATAAATAGTTTCAAAGAATATTATGAAACAACATTACACTTTAGAGACAACTAAAAACAAACACACAAAAATGTGTGCAACCCATTCAAGGTCAAGGCAACCTACATTTCGAACAGTATCCTTTGCTTGCCGGTTAAGTGTAGAACGATCCTTTGCTTGCCGGTTAAGTGTAGAACGATCCTTTGCTTGCCGGTTAAGTGTAGAACGATCCTTTGCTTGCCGGTTAAGTGTAGAACGATCCTTTGCTTGCCGGTTAAGTGTAGAACGATCCTTTTCAAAATGCATCCTTTCATTTTTAATTTACCCCCCCAAAATTTGGTAGGGGCCCACTGAGACCTCCCTCCCAACCTTTACCTCCATTTTTGTTCGGTGCCCTCGATCTCTTTTCCTTCCCCAATTAAAGTGATAGTATTGAAATATTTTAATCTTTAAAAAAAAAAAAAAAAAGGCGCTGGATATAAGTAATCACAATGATTTTTGAACGGCCTAAATTATAATTTTCCTTTAGTTTGGTATACGTAGTTTAACTATAAAGCTTCTAGGGACGAAATTAAAGCTGGGCAAAAAGCATATCCCCAGGGGGCTCCACTACCAGAATGAATTTATGGTTATGTATGGCGGTGGCGGCGAAGTCAGAGCTGTGCCTGGGCATCAAAATTCCTAATTTGGTGGCTGTTCGATGTCCGGCCCCTCCCCCGAACGCCTGAAATACCACCACCACTCCCCAGAGGAAAACATTACCTCAAAGAAACTTGATAAAACCCATAGGCCAAACTAGGCCATAATGATATAAACAGCCGTTCCCAGGAAAATCGGTGCCCATGGCGCACTGTTAAGACGATTTTGCAGCCCCTGTCTATGCAAAGTACATATGGATCTTTTCGTTCAATTCCCAATTATGGGCCTATCTGAAAACGACTTTGCGCCCCCTTATATTGGTGTCAGGGGTAATTGGCCCTCTCGCCCAGTCCTTTGCACGGCCCTGAGTATATATGCGGAGATTTTGCCAGCCAGGAAAAAAAGTGAAGTTAATATAAAGGATTTTAAAAAGAAAACAATTTTGCTAAAATGTGCATAAGTAAGTTCACAAAAAAAATTTTAAAAAAAGGGGGGGGGGGGGGGAGAGGACAGAGATTTTCAAAGGCATAAATTGTTTGGTATGAACATTAACCTTTACATTTAACTAACACAGAAACGGAAGTGACCTGCCCTTTCTTTCCACTTCCGTCCGTCCTTTTACATTTTTATCAGTATCATGGCTGTCGGAAAAAATAAACGCCTCACCAAAGGAGGCAAAAAGGGAACTAAAAAGAAGGTGTAAGTAACTGAAATTGGTTCATAATGATTTCTTACTGCCTAATTATATGTTTCTTTTCGTGGTTAAATGAGGATCGATAAAAATATGGAAGATATTGTACGATTTATCTAAGAACTTTTTAGATGTAAACAAAAGTTATTAGTGTGCATCTTTAACTATGCAAAATCTTTATTTGTAAGGTAAAACACTGTAGGTGAAAGTGTAGTTTTAGCTCTAATTTGACCTTAATTATTCGATCTTAAAGTTTTGTTTATAAGCAAGTAATTCAGATAGGGTATTAAATTTGCTAAAAGACAAGGACTAAGTCAGCTAGCTTCAAAATCGGGTTTGTATACTTTTCATTTCACTAGGGTTGTAATATTTTGCATTGTTTTCTAATATGCTTGTCTTAGCTCGTGTTAACTGTTTTAAAGAGTTCAGGTTGTGTTTTATCTCGTATTAACTGATTTTAAAGAGTGCAGGTATTGCTATTTTTTTAGGTCTGCAGTGTTGTCAACCCTGTTTTTGGGACAGTTGCTCTTGCCAACTCTTGGTTAATGTTAGGTTACAGTGCAGGTTTAGTTATCTCACCCTTAGTACAGTGACTTGACAGTAGGTCTGCTGTCCTGGGACCCCTATCCCACTTTCAAGACAAGAATAACAAGCAAAATACTTGGTAAATAGTGAAGGAAAATGCCACTATTTTATCAGTCGCCGCCATCTTGGTTGACACCTCAGGTGAGGTGTCACATAATAAAATAATTCTCTAAAAATAAACAAAGGGAAGTGACTCTACTAAAAGTACGTCGTGGCATTTTCAATGATGAATAGCCAAATACTTTTTCTAATTTTCTGTGGATCTTCCTCCCCTACTTCGTTATGAGGTTAGGCGCTAACTCATTTTAGGGTTTGGCTTTGGGTCAACCTGAGCAATAAACTTGTGCCATGTACACAATTGTTCATTTTCATGTCTATCTTTTTGTGAAGGGGCAATTAAGTCCCTATTTAGAGTAACGTTAACACTCTTGTCAAAACCTGTATGGTAAAGTGTTGTTCTTCTGTGTGTGCCAATGGGTGGGACAACAAACTCGATCGTAACAATGTTAGCACATCACTGGATAGAAATTGTGTGCCTGCAATTTATTGCACTTAAAGTATTTTTTGCTAATTAGGTCTAAGTCTTTTCTGTCTTTATAAACTGAAGGCACCACCACTTTATCTTTTGGTAAATGCAAAGAGGTGACACCGTTATGTATCACACTTCCACCATCTTGGTTCCCCGACCCGTGAACTTTCACAGGTCACAGCAACCAAGATGGCGGCCGTGGACATATAAAATAGACTCATGTTTGCTCAAATTATGAATAAAACAAAAATTAATTTAAAATTACTTAAACTGAACCTTAAATCTAAGCCTAACCTGTGTATTGACCATAATCTGAACTTCCTAAATCGATCCATAACCCTAATTGTAGCTGTAAAGCAGCAAGTAAAAACACATGGAATTTACACACTGACAAGAAAAATATTAAAATGAACACACAAAAATAGCCAAAAATAATTATTAAATAAAGAAATAATGAATAACCAACTTATAGTTTCATAGAATACACTTAATACACTTTATTTCAGGTTCCACCGAAAATAATATCCACAAAATGAATAAAATGCTGTGCATCTAATTCATGCCAGTGTCAAATATAGCGGAACACATAAAATATTATAATTAGCCAACCAATGAAATTTTAAAATTATAATTAATCAACCAATAAAAATTTAATTAAAACGTGCCATGGTCATATTAATGAAAATGTAACTCTATTGACAAAAAAAATGAGAGTGAATCCTAAACAGAAACTTCACAAATACACGTAAATGACGTCACAGTGCTATCTCTTAGCATTGACATACCGGTATCTTTTTTTAGGACGGTTGACGCCACCTTTTTCCATGTTCATTTCAAATCAGTGGAAGCCATGTGTCATTAAAACCAAAAAGATTAAGACTTAGGCCTGCATATGTTACACTATGTGCTTAGTTATTTAAATGCGCTTTTTTTTTCTCAATTGTACCATAGCTATATAGGACTTCCATATGTGCCTGATTTTCACATTTATGTATGGTCCCTTAACCTAGCCATGTTAAAGTCTCAGGCATATGGCCTATACTATTTCAAACTTTCTTCGTATTTTAGAGTTGATCCCTTTTCTAAGAAAGAATGGTACGATGTCAAGGCCCCCTCCATGTTTTCTGTGAGACAAATTGGAAAGACACTGGTTACACGTTCTCAAGGAACAAGTACGTTTTAATTTTTATGAATATAATTTTTTTAACTGGTAAATAATTATGTTGGGCAGAAGGGCTGATTTTGGGTTAGCTGTAAGGCAGGCAATATGTTTCATGGTATAGTGAGCTTCTAATTCATTACAATATTCATATTCAAAGCACTGAACAATGAGCATTAATATGTGAATTCTTTTTTTTCTACCCCATTAGAGATTGCCAGTGACAATTTGAAGGGCAGAGTTTTTGAGGTTAGCTTAGCTGATCTTCAAAATGATGAAGTAACTTTTCGGAAATTTAAGCTTATTGCCGAAGAGATTCAAGGACGTAATGTCTTGACTAACTTCCATGGTATGTCTCTGACAAGAGATAAACTATGCTCTATGGTCAAGAAGTGGCAGGTAATTATTAACATTTCATCTATTTTTATTAGTATTTTACCCAATTGAAGTTCCTGGTGCTAAAAGTATATTGTTTTTTGTCAAAATCAGTCCCTGGGACATTTTCTTATCCGGTTTAGCCAAGTGTACTGCATAAATTTGAATACATTTTAGATGTGCCCAAGTCCTTTCTTTGAGCATGCCAAGAAATGAGAATGATAAATTTTATAGTCAACATAAGTATTTGAACTGGATTATCTCGAAACTGGTATTTTGTGATGTGGTACTTTTAAGCACTGCCGTCTTCAATTATTTACATATTTTTAGAAACTTTGATCTTTTTCTTATACTTAAGTTCATTTCCATGAACCTCTCTCTCTCTCTCTCTCTCTCTCTCAAGACTTTGATTGAGGCCAATGTTGATGTTAAGACAACTGATGGATACCTACTTCGTGTATTTGTCATTGGCTTCACAAAAAAGAGAAACAACCAGGTCAAAAAGACATGCTATGCCCAACATGCTCAGGTTAGTAGATTTTTATATTATATTATAGCAGTTATTAAATAAAATAGAATTTGTTTCTTTGATTGTGTTGATTTATAAGCATGGTAATTTGTTTAACAGGTGTGGGGGCAGGGTGTATATGTTTTAGTTTTAAATTATTTTGCTGTTTTTACAAGTTTCTTTGTCTAGTCAGAATATACATTTGATCAAACTAGGTAGTCCAAACTAAAATTTTCTATACATAGCAGACATATTTGGTGAGTTTCACCTGACAGAACTTTTTATTCTAAGATATAGGCCACTTATTTCATGTAGTTATCTCAATAAACAAAAAAGTTATGCGATTTTCAAATTTGCTGAAAATCGACCAAAAATGGATTTTTTTACCTTGTGAAAAAGTCCCATGTTTAAGGACCTATATTTTCTAAAATAATCAACAGAGAATTCCAGGAATTGGTATATGTGCTCCAAAGTTTACAATATTTAAGCCCAATTTTTTTCAAGCAGCCAGATCTATTAATTCTTAAGTTATTAAAAAATAAAAAATAACAATAATGATTTTTAGTCATTTTTATTTTCTGACAGGAAAAGTGTAAAAATACACATTTTCAAAAATTTGTTAAAATTTCTGTTATTGACTTACATAAATATGTCATACATCAAATTAAAGATAATTTTAAGCAGAACAACATGCAGTATGCCTTAACATCATCAATAAACACTTAAAGGCACTAAAATAAGTCTAAAAGTACTCACTTAGCGTTTTTTTTAAAAATGAAGGTTTAAAAAATTTGATTAGAAAATGCATTTTATCACATAATTGTGATAAAATCAAAGGAATATGATGTCAGATGTGTTTACTATTAATTAAAAGACTAATAAAAAAAAATATCAATGCAGAGTATTGTCAAAAATATAAAGCAATTGAGCATACATTTTAATTAAATTGTCAGGGAAATGCCTGGTCTATCAACTGGGGGGTGACTGGGTAAGCTTCTGTAACCAATTTGTAATCTTGTTGGTCTTATTCCCCAGTAGCTTGATAAGTGCATTATCAATAGCAATTGTCAACTCTAGCCACAATGTTGCACCCAGGGTCTCCGCTGTGGAATGAACAATTAAACTTAGAGAGCATACAACATTGTTTTAAGTATTCATAGGTGTAATATAAAAACTAAATATTGAGAGAACTGGGCGAGTCCATTTCAATAGGCCTTAGGTACCGGTAGTACTAGTGAGTATAAGATGAAATAATATTGAAACAATTCTAACTCAGAAATACGTTTCATTGAGTTTTAATAAATGCTTCACAATCTCATTGTCAAGATAAGCTTACAAATTATTTGTTTAATTATTTTGCTGTGTATAATGTTTTATTCACTTGAACCCTCCTACCCCAGATAAAAATTTAAGTCGGTCCACCCCAATGTTTACTCGCCGGCATCCATTTTTATTTTCTCGATCGGACAGAAACCCCCTTTGAAATCAACAATACTATCTTTATTTTAAAATTGCATTTATAAAATATAAGAAAGATCAAACATTAACATGTCTGCGACATGTCTATCAATTTTTTTTATCGCTAGACTGTCCTCAATTAAATACATTTGGTCCGATCGGCAACATATCTCCTAGTCAAGTTCACAATAGCTACAATTCGTTAAAATATATCTAATAGCTGACGACACCAAATTAAGTTTAACTCACTTCTAATCAACATTTACATTCACTAATACTAATACATTATATGAAAATTTAATTATATTACTTACTTGTTGATTAAAAGCCCCAACATGGCTAAAAAAGCAACCGCCATAACGCTGGTACTAGTACTAGTCACCAAGCGCGCGTTAGGCGTCTAGTGCTAGCGGTGTGGAACTGGAAATGGGGGTGTTTTTGTAAACATCGCTGCTACGCGTCAATCATGCCCACTCATTTGATCTCGTGATATTAAATAGTTAAAGACCTGATCTTTCCAACGGTGTAAAGAGTGTCCTAATATCTCCATGTTTTCGACCATTTTTTTAATACGAAAGTTTTCAACCGGCTTTTTCAAAATGAAATAAGCAAGGTAGATAAACTTTCTATGCATCAAACGAAAGGACAGCATCTGCTCTTTCTTATGGTGGTAGAATTATTGCGATAACTTAAATAGACGCGTAGCCGTGGGCGTTTGAAACACCTTGGGGTAAACCGGTACTCGCAAAAACGCCGTAAAATTGGTCAAAACTGATACTTTTCAAACACAGAAAAAACACTTTCAAACACATGTTACAGTCATGCAAGTAACACATTTCGCCAGATAAAGACTTAAACTTTATTCACATATACATTTTATTGCTGTATCGCTACTAGAAGAGGATTAATTATTTTTTTGAAAACTTCGAAAAATGACCCTAAAACGCATTTTTTCTTTAGTTTGGACTACCTAATCAAACACATTTTTTTTACAAGACAAAGGGGTGGTCCAAATTCCTACTAATTACAGTATATGTAGTCATGTAGCTTCCAAAGCTTCGCTTTCTCTCATTTTTATATCCAATCACTGGTAAATATTTTAAGGATCTTATCAGGCATTTTACCTGACATGAAAATGATTTCTAAGAGACTACTTTAGCCATTGCAAATTTTTCAGCAGCTTAGTTATTGTCAAATGTGTTGGTGTCAAAATATAGTTTTAGGTCTTTGGTTGACAATATTATATTGGATTACATCTATATTGAACTTTTATAATTAAATCGCTTCCATAGCTAATTCTTTACCCCTTTTACTTCATATCTAATTAAATTATTTGCAATGATGAAAGGAACTTGCCCTCTCTTAAATGAGATGATGAAAAAGTTTCCAGTGTACTCGACCTGAGCAAATATGTTTTGAATCTGTATCTTACATATTTTCTTAGAATTTTAATTATATCAGCTTGGTTTTGTTTCACAGTTGAATTTTAAGTATTTTTATCTATCTGTGTAGGTCAAGGCTATTCGCAAGAAGATGGTTGAAATTGTAAGCCGTGAGGTGTCTAGCAATGACATGAAGGAGGTTGTCAATAAGCTGTGAGTGGCTGTGTTTAGATTTGTTACTTGCTACTTACAAATGATTGGTTTTCTTTTCCGGCTGATGTTGCCTTTCAGCAAATATGAGCTAAGGCTAAAGCAATACTGATGGGATAGGGTGGTGTTTTTTGTTTTTTTTTGGGTGGGGTCTGTGAGAATTGGAGTGCAGGATCCAACAATTGACAATGGCAATCTGAAAGAGAAATCGAAATATATATCTCCACCACTTTAAAGATTTTTCTTTCTACTGGAAAGTAGGAACACAATTGATACAATTTATCCACTCTCCCTATGGATTTGTTGAACACATCCACAAGAGTAGGAATAGTCCCTTCACACTGAACTCCTGGGGCACGATGTGTAACTGTGGAAGTCCCTGGAGCAGTGTTAGTGCTTAGCAGCGTAGCACATCTTTTATCCTTCTAGACTGGCCGCAGGATTTCCATTTTGCCTGACTTTGATTTCTCATTTTTTCATATTTTGTAATTTTGTGGGTTTAAATTTAGATGGCCATCCTTTTCTATTGGGCCTTATTGTTGAGCAGCAATAACTTTGCCAAGGGATCCTGTGCTAAACAGTATCGACAAGAAATTATCTAATAAGAAGTGGTGATAATTATATAAAAATCCCCCCCTTTGTAACAACTTGGTGTCCACTTCCATGAGCCCTTTCATCTTCCCAGTATACATAATAAAATCAAGAAGGTAACTGTGTGTTGTTCACCCATCGACTAGGACCATCGAATCATCCGGTTAGGGGGTTGGGATTACGGTGAGCTCGTAGGTGGCTTGTTAGACCGATCCTTGCTCGGAATAGTCTGACACCGTGGGCATGGAATAGTTGCTTCAGACGGTGACCTAATGTTGCTCTTTCGGACAAGCCTGCATGTTTCAGCTGTGGTTATTCTATTAGCTTCATGGGATTTAGCCCCCTTCTTGACAGCAGCTCTCCACCTTTCTCTGTCCTGGGCTGTCTGCACCCGTTGAGTAAGGTTAATGTTGAAGGCCTTTAGTGCCACTTTCAGTGAGTCTTTGTAACACTTTTTTTGGCCTCCTTTGGAGCGCTTGCCTATCGTGAGTTCTCCGAAGAATAATTGTTTCGGGAGCCGGTGGTCTGCCATACGGGCTACGTGTCCCATCCAACGGAGCTGAGACTGCATCAGAGTGGTGAAGATGCTAGGTAGGTTCGCTCTAGCGAGGACTTCCGTGTCGGGGACTTTGTCTTGCCACCTGATGTCGAGGAGTGTCCTGAGGCAGGTAGTGTGAAAATGATTCAGTTTCTTGGCGTGACGCTGGTAGACTGTCCACGTTTCACATCCATAAAGCAGTGTCGGGAGGACTGCTGCGCTATAGACCTTGAGCTTTTTTTCTCGACTGATACCTCTCCTGTCCCAAACAGTGCTGCGGAGCCTGCCAAATAGGGCACTAGCTTTTGCGAGTCTGCCATTCATTTCATCATCCATGGTGACAGATCTAGAGAGGGTGCTGCCCAAGTAAGTAAATTTATCCACCGGGTTGAGACGCTGTCCACTGATGATGATGTTGGGTTCAACGTAGGGCTTACTGGGAGCTGGCTGATACATCACCTCAGTCTTCTTTGTGTTGATTGTGAGGCCAAAGTTATTGCAGGCCTCAGAGAAGATATCAACGCTGTGTTGCATGACGGCTTCTGATGGAGCATTGAGGGCACAATCGTCTGCAAACAGAAGCTCGTTGATCGTGGTATGTTTGACCTTGGTTTTAGCTTGAAGCCTCCTAAGGTTAAATACTGATCCATCAGTACGAAACCGGATTGGCAAGCCCATGGTGGAGTCCTTGAACGCATCAGACAGCATTGCGGAATACAAAATACTGAAGAGTGTGGGAGCAAGAACACAACCCTGCTTTACACTGTTTGGTACACCGTTTGTGACGGGGAATGCTTGAGATGATTGACCATTGTCCTGTACTCGGGCAATCATACCATCATGCAGCTGACGGATGATGTTTGTGAACTTGTCTGGGCATCTGTATTTCTTCATGATTTTCCACAAGCCACCTCTTATTGACCCTGTCAAGGGCCTTATTCAAGTCGATAAACGTAGAATATAGGTCTGTATTTTGTTCCTGGCATTTCTCTTGAAGCTGTCAAGCAGCAAACACCATATCGATGGTTCCGCGTTTTTTGCGGAAACCCGCACTGACTTTCGGGCAGGAGACCTAGCTCCAGATGTGCATTCAGGCGGTTCAGAAGGGCACGGGCCAAGATCTTGCCTGCAATGGACAGTAGTGAAATTCCGCGGTGATTGTCGCAATGCCTGGTGGTTTCCTTTGTGTTTGTACAGGTGGATAATTGAGGCATCCTTGAGGATGACTGATGACTTGCGCGGGTGACATAATAAAATCAAGAAGGTACCATGTAGATGAATCAGCAGCACACCAAACCTAAATACCCCAGGGGTTATGTTTTTTTTTTATGTACTTAAATGGTAAATGCCACTCTTCCGCTGTAGGCTATCATTGCCTCATAGAAACTTATGTTCTTGCCTGCTGTAAAACGGGGCTGAATTATATATTATGAGTTCTATAAGTGGCCTTACTTTATGTAGGAGGTCTTGGCCTCTGGGAGGATTTAAGAGATGAGTCACATAGATCTAGGTATTGTGGCAGCTTCTCGTACGCGAAGCCACCTCTTGGACATGGAGACGATCATCTGTTCAACAGTAATCAGATTATTCTGGTAGAACATGAATGCCCATGATTATATAAATATGAAACATTTTATTTCACCAACTGCTGGCTTCCAATATTTGTCCACTTCAACTTTAGCAGCCCTTTGATGATGTTGTTCACCATACATATTTGTTTGGTTTACTGCTGTTGTATAAAAGTCTTCCGGAAGTAACACAACTAAAATGGTCAAATGGCTCTGCATCTGACTCTAATTCATGTTTAGGACCACTATCTGCAATAAATTCCCTGACCACATCGGTAGACAAGTCATCGAGCGTCACCCAAAATTATCGACACTCTTATTAAGTGTCTATGGGTAGGTGCGAGGATCAGCGACTCCCAAGGGGGAAAGGGTTAAATACAATTCAACTTATTTGTGCTAATATAAATTAAAAGCTTTGCAATATATTTTCATTTATAAATAACAACTTGCATTTACTTTTTTTTCCCCAACAGTATTCCAGACAGCATTGGTAAGGATATAGAGAAGAGTTGCCAAGGGATTTACCCACTGCATGATGTTCTCATTCAGAAAGTAAAAGTCCTCAAGAAGCCCAAATTTGATGGTAAGATTTGATGAGTTTTGTCACTGATTTTTATTCCATTTTCTGAAATCATGTTCTTAAACTTAAATTTGTGTGAGATCAGATTTAGATTGTGGATAGTTAATAAGGTTTATCTTTTTAAGGATTCAGCAGTAGGCCTCAGCAGTTTAGTTGAGATTTTTCCATTGTTGTGTGTTATTTTGTTTATGGTAATGTTAAATTTTCTGTTTTTGCAGTTGGTAGATTGATGGAACTCCATGGAGAGGGTGGTGCAAGTACCACCACCACCAAGACTGCAGAGGGAGGAGAGAAAGTTGACCGTGTTGATGGCTATGAGCCACCAGTACTTGAAACTGTCTAGACAAATTGACCTATTAAATGAACCAAAGTGAATAAACTGTAGGATTTGTTTTTTTTAGTTTATATGTCTGTGGATAAATGGGTATTACCATGACAAGGATGTTATTGTTTTTTTTCTGCCTGTTTGAATGGTACTTCTTTGTAAAGGTAGGTGGGGAAAACCACATCGAAAAAAAGTGGGCTAAACTATGAAACTTGGGTGGGATAACTTTGCCACAAAATTGAAGGGGTGATGATAAACTTTTTTTGAAATATGCAGGCCTTTGAGTTATGTAGAACCTAATCAGCTATTCTGAGCACACAATGATTCACTGAATGCATTACTGGGGAACAACTCACTTTATAGACTGAAATCAATATGTTCAATTGGATCAATAAAGGAATCTTTACTTATTTCTTCACTTTTTTTTTTACTTGATGTCTCATTTGAAGGCTGGCTTTTGGCATGCTTTGTGCCATATTATACACAATACTTATACTCCAGTGTTTCCATTTAATTTTTTTTTTTTAATTGTGATTTAGATACTGGGTACAGGTATGCCCAAGAGGTGGGGTTGAAAGCAAAATTTGTATGCACAAATTCTGTACAAGTACCTACTAGAAATTGAACAAATGAATAGCATAGTAATAGTACTAAAATAGAAAACTGGCTCCTAAAAGAGTTTCCTCCAGCCTTGAGAAATGAAATGTGTCGATCAATATTTTGTGGCACTCTTGTGAGGAAAGTTTGGCACCAGTGTTATGCAAAAGAGTGGGGCAGTTAAAGTTGATTGCACTGTTATATGCTGTGATAGTTGTTTATTATTAATAATAACATAATTTTAACAGAAGGAATATGGGAAAGGGGGGCGGGTGCAAAAAAATGCATGTCTCAAGTCCAGTCTTTGGCATTATTCTATTTTTCATTGTGACTTTATAGCTTATTCTTCACTTTTCTGGTTAATTTCCTGTGGGACATTTTATGTTAATTTAAACATGCCAATTGATATACCAGTAATTAATTTTAAAAAGTAACTAAAGATGTTTGTGAACATGTTTAAATTTAATCATGAATACAACCAAAAAACAACTTTTTTTCAAATAATTTCATTTAAATACCAGCTAATCTAATAATTTACATTACTAAAGTTGCTCTAGTAAAGTATACTACTACTCGAGTACTCCTTTAATAATATTAAAATAAAAATCTTATCAATTTTACTAATTACCGGTATAGTATTTAGACCAATTTAGTGTTAATAAATGAAACAATACAATCTATAACACCGATATTCTTTTTTAAAATTTTACTACCAAACGTCGATACAGTTCAGTTAACTGAGTACCGGTAGTTATTTTTATTATTCTTTACAATATAGTGTGTGGACATTTAACATACCGGGTAACAACAAATGAGCAGTCTGATGAATACAATACAAATGCTAATTCACAAGTTTAGAGGGTTGAGATTACAAATTATTGTAATGTCTTCAAAATTATAAAATACAACTCAAGAATCACTAATTTAATTAGTTAGAGTTAGAGGGGCATATGCATTTATTGGGTGTCAAGATACCATATTTAAATTGATGGACAAGGTCTATATTTAGGTGCTTTCAGTTTTCCAAGATGCATAAAAAAATGTAAAAATATGGTCATGCCATTATTACATTAATTAAAAAGCAGATTCGAAAGCAATTTATTACATTATGAAATGAATGTTAGCTGGCATTCAACTTGTACAAACTATCCACACCCACATTTACTGCAGAAAGAAACCTTACATCAAAGAATCAAAGCCAAAATTTAAATTAAAGTATGTCCAGGCTTGTCAAGATAGTTTTTTTTTTTCAATTGTGGATACAGCTACTTCAGCTCATTGTCCCTTATTTCTTTGTTGGAGAATTTTGAGTCTTTTTAGGTCTGGCTCTCTTCTTATGTCTGTTTTGGCCCTTGTTTATATTTTTCATGGTAAATGTAATGCACTGTGGAAGATGAAAGGAATTCTCTTTATTTAAAACTTATCTTAATTATATTTTTTTACCCCACGTTCAATCTCAATTTTCGTGAAGTGTCTTAAAGTAGAATCTCCATACATTGCCAGACTGATATTTCTGTCTAACCCGTAACAGTCTCTACGTGAATTTTCATGTCCCTACTTACCACCTGAATTTTATTGTACTTGAACTCCTGTTTTTTCAGTTGTGAAATCATTTTTCATGACTTTGAAGTTATGAATTGTATGCTTGTAAAAGGCCTAGCCCTATACTGTAAGAATAATGTACCGGTATGACCTTCAGTGGCTTCAGAAGATCTTCCACATTATTCTACAACAGTATAATTTTTATCTGTAGTCAATTAAGATTGAATAAAAAAATCATCTCATTTGTATTCATAGTACCCGTATTTATCTTGGCTTACCGTAGTGTCACTTTTTTGGTGGGTTTCATGGCAAAGGGCAAAGAGTTCAAAATTCAAACGGTTTATATTTTAATAGCTTGCTATAAATTTCTAAATAGGATCCAAATTGTCATTACTACCAGACACCATTTCATCAGTCTATTTTTTACATATACCGGTAATTATCAATAATAAGAGCTTAAACTTAAAAAATTATATATATTTTTTGAAAACACTGGTGAATACATTTATAGATTTGCAAGAAAAACCCACTAATGTTCATATATTTGTTTTGTTGAAGTGAAAAATAGGCTTGTTCTTTTTAACGGGTTAAAACACATACAATTTGTGAAAGTGCCCTGCTGTTGTAAACAGTATTGTTAGGACCAAATACAAATTCATGTTTCGCCTACATCAGTGAAACTAAATTTTCCTGAAATTTTCTAGTGAGTATAAAAAATAGATAAAAGAAAGAAAATGGATGTGTACAAGTCCCATACAAAAACAACTAGCAAACCGTAACAAATAAGTTTACTCTGGAAAGCTTAAAAACAATCCAACAGTGCCATTCAATTTTACTTTAAAAATATATCAACTCACTCGTTCATCTAAGAAGTCCATGACCTTAGGCATTCCTATACGAATTCCACAGTCTGCAATTCTTTTCTTCAGCACATCTAGCTCAAGTGGCTATGAATAGACAAATTAAATACTTGCATGCAACCTTATATGTAAATTTTTAAAACTTATTTTGTCAAATAATGCTAAATTTCTTTCTTTTGATTTTCTCATTTAATTCATTTATACTAACGTTAAGTGCTGTCTTCATAAATAATATAGTAATAGTAATGTGGTGTAGTTTTTTTTCTACTAAAGAGAACTGTTGGTCTGAATTGTTTGGTTCTTTCTTAAGCAGATTTTCATCTTACATTATGACCTTTGCTGCAGTCCAACCTTAGTATTGGAATACCGGTAATTAATAATGTTCCCGAATTAAACAACAGTAGTGACAAGAACTCTAATTGTCTAAATAAGATGCCATAATTGAACTTACCTCATACATGAGAATATTTTCATGGATGTCCTTGTTTTCAGTAATAAACTCAACCAGCCTCTCTGTCATTGACTCAGCACTTGCCTGTGGGATGAAAATATAAACTCATACAGTTATTGTGGATGTATCGAGTGCTATAGATATGGTAGTGTTTAAAACATTCATTTACAGAACAAAAAGTCATTTCTTTAATTTAAAGCTTCTTCTGCACATCACTTACAATGCTTCATACCTCTTGGTATATTACCAGAAGCACAGGAAACTTGAAAATTTCATTTATGTTACAATACCATCCCAGATTTTTTATAAATATTAGGTTTGTAACATTCTTGATTTATTACATTCGCCAAGGTTCAGCAGTGTGTCACAACATTTTTATTTGTGTGAATTTACCTACAAAACTGATGGAGATGAATATAAACTAATTTAACATAAATTTCCTTGTTTCTCACATACATTTGAATGTTGGGCCATGGGAGTAAAATAACTGCTTCTAGTGTCTGGTACAAAAAATAAGTTTGAAATCTGCTGTTAAATGGTAAACAATGACACAAAATTTGAATTGAAGATAAATGGGTGTCAACTATTTGGACAAGTAGGGAACAGTAAACGAAAGGGAAGGAAAAAAAAAAAATGGGGGGTGTTCCTTTACTTTATTATCTTAGTTACAGTACTGCCAGAAAGACTTTAATTAATATTTAACCTGTTGTGCAGCTGGCATTTCTTCATCTGGCCATCCCTGTAATATACTTTCTTCAGGTAAGTCAGGAGTATCACTGAAATATGCAGGATAATTATAGTTAATTACAATATTAGGAGAGAGTGTTTAATGAAACTTGAGAAGGCTGCACTGAACTGGTGTAAATGTAAACAATTAACTTGAGAAGGCTACATACACTGTACTGGTGTAAATGTAAGTAATTAAGGAGATGAATTCAATATTCAAAATATTTTAACCTAATCTTTATTTTCTTCTTTCAGCCACAATACCATACAATGTTTCCACAAAGAGCAAATGTTTTAAAAAAATGTTAATTTCAGAGATAAGACATATTTTAAAACATTAGATAATATCTTGGAATTTACAACTGGAGAGAAATTGTGCGAGCTATTCTTGGGCTTCTACTGAGTACATTGAGTGTTTTCACTTCTCAGTTCCTCTTGAATGGGACACAGCAACTTTCTTTAGCAGCTATGTTAATTTTATTCTTTTTTTCACTGGTTTGTTATTCTCTGAAGAAAGCTTTTGGCTCTCATTGGCTTTTTAGTGGTGCCTTTTAAAAATATTTCTCACTTAATGTGTTCTTTGCTTTTTAAGTATCTTAAAACTTGATGGTCGTTTCCCATTATTCTAGAGTACGCCATTGACCAGCTTTTCAGAGGCAGATGTAGAGATGTTTTTCATTCATTAAAAGTGGCAACAAGAGTTTGTGTAAAAATAACAAATAAATGAGCTCATTTAGTCAAATGAAGAAATTTATTTGTCAAGGAATAAAATAAAAAATGTATACATTTCAATACATTTTGTCTTTATTCTTATTTTAATTTTTTTTTAAAATTGGAAAATGGTGAAAAAAGGTTTGTGCTTTTTTTAACGACAAATATCTCTGACCTGTAGCTGGAGTCTTGTGATCCTGATGGCAGGTCATCGTCTCCACCGTCCTCATGACTCGAACCCTTAAACTTGTCTGGCTCACACACGCCACTGACTCCACCTTTGCCCGACATCTGTTGTGGCTTCTTAGTGTAAACTACACTTTGGGACGTCACTGTTTGTTCACCTGGTTTTAAATCTTTTAAGGCCGGGGCTGATTTCTTTACTTGTTGTATTTTTGGTTTTAGGCGTGTCAGGCCACTACCTTGTTCTTGACCTGGTTGAGAGTTGATATTGAGTTTTGATGGAGATGAGCCCAGTTCTTTGCGCTTGACTGGAGTTCCATCATAGTCACTGTCAGTTTCATCTGAAAGTGGAGCAAGTGCGAGTTTTTAAATGACAAAGAGAGGACCATTGTGTATGTTGGGGGGGTAAATATATTTTAATAATATATTTTAATAGGGATAATTCCGAATAATCACTCTGTATAATTTTCCTTTATTTTTCATTTGGCAATAAGCATTCTTTCAGTTAATCATATTTTTGTGGCCAAGATAGACCGCCATCCCATTGCTATGTTTAAGTCGGTTCTATTAATCAAATGCCAAACAAACACTGACAGGCTCAATTTGTCATGCTTCTCACTTACACTGATGTGTTTCTAGATAAACATGTTTCAACAATTCTCTCATTCTCTTTTTACCCAACGGCCTGACTCCAATCTTGGATGCAGCTTTCTGAAAGAATATTTAATCCTTATATGAAAAGTAAATTTAATTTTTTTTTTTTTTTTTTTTTTAAATTTTAAATGCATTTATACATTAACGTTAATTAATAAGGGTGTATACAGAGGCCAAAAATAATGAGCAAGGTAAAGAGGTAATATAATATTTTTTGATCAAAGACAATTATTTAAATTATATTTTACAATGACTGAATGTTTTGCTCAATGTTATTTGAAGACTGAATTTTTAAGGATTTAAAATGTTGATAATAAGAGTAAACAAAGAGTTCAACACTCACTTTAAGTTCTGGGGTGGCCATGGCATCATATGATGGCATAGGGGTGAACGGTGAAGGGGCTCTACTGGCTTTTATCTTGGTCAATTTACCTAGTCTTTGATTGACTGGTGTCTTAGGGAGGTTATTCTGTGGTGCACCGGTTTCCTGGGAGGGCTAAGAAGATTGAACCATGAAATAAATATCACTATATTTGTAACAGACACTTGAAATAAAAGAAATTTTCAAAATCTGAATTTTATAGTAAGAGAAATTTTCAAAATCTGATTTTTGTAATAAGAGAAATTTTCAAAATCTGATTGAAACAATTATTTTACATTGATTTGGGACAACAAACAACAACAACATAGATGGTTCAGACATCATGTTACAATATTAAAGAGATGGTGAATTTGATGACATTTCTTTATTTTACCTTCAGCTTCTGCTTCACCGGTTCTGTTTTATCTTTCAATTCTCCGTGCATTGTTTCAAACTCCCCAAAGCTGAGGTCCTCATACAAAAAATGGTCATCTAGTGGATCAGACAAGGTCAAATCTATAACAGGTGGCTTGGTAACTGGTGGTTCAGCAGGGGGTGGTACTCTTATTGGTGGGTTTGTTGGCTGTTTGGAGACCCTTTCAAATGATGGTTCTCTCCCCTTCCTAGATGTGTCAGTCAAGTGGTCATTCTGATGTGACTGCCCAGTCATTTTGGCAAAATGTCCAGCTGGCTGTACTGAGACGGCTGGTCCTGCTTGCTTCACTTGTTTACTTTGAAAAGGGTCCAATAATCCCAGCCTCTGGCGTAAGGGTAATGGTGAATCAACGTCTATCTGTGGAGGAAAAAAAGTATTGACACTATTACTACACTATGGGTTCTACACTGTCTTCATTGAGATATTCTAAGACTGAATGGTCTCCAATGTAGTCTATGTACAACATTGGTGAATATTTCCTTTGATAATTATACCTAGGGGTTTGCCATAAAGGACATTGACAAAGAGAGGATGCGGAGGGCATATCTGTTCAGATAAAGACAACTGCGGGCAAATTGGGAGGGGTCGTGGACGTAAACAAGCTAGCATTATTTGTGATATACTGCTTAAAGTCATCTGCGTATGTTACAGTATTTTTACATTTTTTAAATGGCGGACATCCTCCACGATTCCAGCTACTATGTGTCTGGCTTCCTGTGCCTATGGTTGGATATATCGCCCACATTATCGCCTGTTTCTGTTTTTTTAATTTTTTTATTCAGCTTCATATTTTTATGATGCCAGTGAGTGTTGTATCTTGAAAATATCAGCTTTTATACTTCCTGTCATTTTATACGGTACAATTTGCTGGATGTGGATACCTGCAACTGGGGGGGGTTGAAAGCTACACAGCTGAGGACAAGAGGGGAGGGGGCTTTGGAAAAGTAGCGTATTTTTGCTTTAAGCCTTAAATATATTATTTTACCAATCAGGATTAACTCTTAAATGCCATATATCACAGAGTTATAATTACCAGTGCCGATAAGCTTTACAATAGGTTAACTAAATAATAAAAAATGAGTAAGTTTGTCATTAAAATAGTACCACCTTTCAAAATGGTTGGCGGCATTTATAAATGTTCCAATTACAGTAGTCATAATTTATTTCATTATAACATTACAGCCCAGTACTTACCACATTAGAAATGATTTTTCCTTTAGTTGGAGATGTTTGTTGATTTAAGCTGGTCTTGGACTGTGCCTGCTGGTCAGTTTTACTCAAACTTGGGTGACGTCTTGTAAAGTCTGGGGTACTCATTTCATTAGGGTGCTGATGAGCTGAGATACTTGGGGATGTCTTTGTGGTTGCAGGGGGTGTGAGCAAGTTGGTCACATGAGGAGGCTGGTGGAATACTTCTCTGGTTGGGTCTTTTGAGAAGGGTCGTATGGCTGAGGGTTCAGGTGCTGTTTTTCGGGAATATGAATTGTGTTGTGTTGCAGGGGTGACCGACGTGATGAGGGAAATCTTTTCACAAGTTGAAGGCTTGGGAAGTGTGGGATCCACTGATTTTTTTGGTGAGGCTGTTTTAGAAACTGTTGACCTCAAGGCCACCGTGTGTAAGGCTGCAGAACTAAGTAAGGCTGACGGTGAATCCGATATTGGTGGTGTCCTTTGACTGGATGGAATGTTAGGAATGGCTGAAGCAGTTATGGCATTCTTACAAGCAGGATGTTCTGCGCCTTTCTGTTGACTTTCATTTAAATCATCTTTTAATTGACTCAACTGGGCAGGCTTATCTTTGAATTGACTCAACTGGGTGGGCTCATGGTTTACAGACCTAACAAAATTTAAACTTGTATTACATTTCTTTGGTACATTCCCAACTGCAATGCTTTTCCCCAACACAGTCTCGTCTGGCAATGGCGAGTCTTCTACCCATATAGCTTGCTGCAGTGCTTCCGATTGTGGGGTTTTATCAAGGCTTTTTAATGGGAGCTCACTCCGAGCTAGTGAGTCATCAAGCTCCCTTACATCTGCTCGAGAACCTTTGCCTGGTGGGGTCATATGAAGGACATGTGGAGGTGGGGTCATATCAAGGACAGATGGGACTGAGGTCATTTGAAGGACAGGTGAGGGTAGAGTCATATCAAGGACAGGTGAGGTTAACCAGGATTTCCTTTGTTTATCCCTGGTATTGGTATTATCCAGAAGCGTTGAGGATAAAAAGAGTGGCGAGTTTTTCTTCGCCAAGCCTCTGCAAGTTTTCTTGCGCTGAGAAGACGAAAGGTTTCCCTCCCCATCTGACTGAGAGGACGTGTCAAGACAACTTTCATGAACATCTGGGATGGGGGAGGAGCGAATCAGAGGGGAAAGGTCATTGGTTGGACCTATTCTCGAGGATGCTTTAGAAAAACCAGGAGTCAGGAAATGTGGGCCGACTTCTGCTTTTTTACCTCTGTCAGGATCACTGGTGACTGACCCGCCAGTGGCACCTGCACTTAACTGGGTGGCTTCATGGATTACCACCTGTCTTTGTTTGAGTTTCTCCTCATCAGAAGTGCCGGAAGATTTAACACAAGTCACGCCTTGTCTCAACTCAGTACTCCACTTGGCACCAAATCTGGGAACCTGCCTCTGAGAAACATCGGAACAGAGAACAGGTTTCATCTTGTGGCTTTCTTCCTCCAATGCTGCATTCATTCGTTTATTTGGTGGGGTTAGATAAATGCTGGCACCCAGACAGCCACCCAAGACTCTGACAGCCATGATTTCATCATCATCCGTAGAGTCAGCTAATTTGGGACTCTTGGCTGGAACATTTGAGATGCCGGTAAAGGAGTGTGGAAGCTTTCTTTTGGAAGACGCCGTTTCTTCTCCACATCCCATCACGAGCCGATGGTTTGCTTCAGCTTGATCCACTCCATCCAGCAAATCCTCATCAGCGCTGGATGAGAAAAGAAGTGATGGAGATGAGGGTTCGGCTGATGTAGAACCACAACCTTGAACATGCTTTATCCCTTTTTTTCTCAAAGAGGCAAGTTCCACACTTTGCCCCTCCGCTAGCTTCAGTTTGCCATCTTCATTGTCCCCGCTCTTTCTTTGGGACTTGGACCAAGTATTTTCATATGCAGCTGGGTTTTCAGCAGTGGCGATGTGTTGTTTTTTTTTCCTCCTCCTATCAGTATATCCATCCAGCTTCAATCTGTATGCCTCCTGACCTTTTGTCTGGTTAGCTACAGGCGTGACAGCTGCCAGACTTGGGCTGCAGCTGATTGAATCCCTAATTGAAGACTCTAAGGGGCTCTCACTACTTGGGCTCTGCATTCCCAGTTGACCAATGTGGCTTACGTTTACCACTGGAGCCTGGCCTGGTTTAAAATGTTGGAGTAAAACATCTGCAATTAAATTCAACATGTTTTCTTTCATTCCAAGTTTATTTGGTGCACTAGAGTTTGTTGGTGCACTAGAGTTTGTTGGTGCACTAGAGTTTGTCGGTGCATTGGAGTTTGTTGGTGCACTAGAGCTTGCGGTGGCCATCCTTTGTGCAGCTGGCCCAGCATTTGTGCTAACTGTTGAGGAGTTCAAAGTGCCCTGAACCTGGGTTCCCTTGGGTAGCCCACCAGCTATTACTGGAAATCTGGATTTGGAGGTTGGCTTAATAATAGGTGAACACATCATTGGTTGAGTGGCAGGGGACCGGTTTGCATCACTGGAGTTTTTCCTTTGGTCTTGTCTGCTGGTTACAGCAGGCTGATGGACAGCAGGTAGAGTGGCACTAGGGTGAGAGACAGCAGGTTGAGTGACACCAGGCTGAGAGGCAGCAGGCTGACAGACAGCAGGTTGAGTGACAGCAGGCGTGTCCTCAGAATCACTGAACAGCTCATCTCCACTTATGTATATGTCGTGTTGTACTTGTTGGCATAAACTTTCTGGATTACTGACCTTTGAACTATTGAATTCCGGCTGCAAAGGAGAGGCTTTGGGTAAAGCTGTTGACACATCCAGCTTGGACCGAGATGAATCCTCAACATCTCTTGAACTGGCTGTGACAGGCTGAGGTGCGCCAGTGTCAGATTTGGGTGCCTCATTTATTGTGCCGACTTTAACCGTGAAAACTTGAGTTAAAGGCGGTACTTTCTCACCATGTACTCTGGCTGTCTCACCGTGTACTGTGGCTGTCCCACCACCATGAGCCGGGGAGGTTCTAGTTGGAACAGTGTCAACGACGAGTCCTGCAGTTTCACAATGAGAGTCATCACTGTCTTGGCGAATTTTCTTTAAGCTCTGCACAGAGCTGGACATTTCACGGTTTGCTTGACAGGAGGCACTTTCTCGGCGCAGCGTTTTTTTAAACATGCTGACAATCTGCCGTGGCACATTGGGTTTGACTGAACGAGCGGGCGGTAAAGACTGGCCCTCCCGTGAACGTTTGCTGCCCGGCCCAGCAGGCAACGGATCCTTTCCACAAAGAGTCTCAAGACGCGTGGGAAAGCCTATAGGCAATTTACCATGGACTGAACCAGAATTTTTACCCGTGGCAACACCGGAAGGCAGTTGGTCTGATGCCGTGCCTGAGAAGCACAGTTGTTCAACAGGTTTAACTCTAGGTGTCCTCCTTTTCTTTTTCATGATGGGTTGTTTGATGTCAGAATGTGTGATGATCACATCATCACTACTGGTATCCACAGGGTCCAGGATGGAGGGAATATAGAAACTGTCACTGGGATCTCCTAAATGACGCACATCTTGAAATCCTTGCTCTATTTTGATGGTTATCAATTCAAAATCTTCCTCCGTCAACACATTGGCCAAATCCCGTTGGCCAGTGTCTTGTGCCATACCGGGCAAGTTGGCAAGCATTTTACCCAAAATATCTTTGAAATATTTGGTGGATACTTTCTTCTTTCTTTTCCTGGTTGTCTTCGGCTTAGGTTTAGTTACAGCGGGGATATCTGGGAAAGAGGAAGTGCTTGCAACAGGAACATCTGGGATAGATAAAGTTCTTGCAAAAGGAACATCTGGGATAGAGGAAGTGCTTGCAATAATAACATCTGGTACTCCTGGGATATTAGTCTCTGTTGTGTTTTTAGCCAGAGGAATGGCCGTCAGATCTAACCCTGCAGAAATGCCAGTTTTATCCAACCCTGTAGGAATGCCAGTTTTATCCCACCCCGCAGGAATGGCAGTTTGATCCAATTTTATACGAATGAGACTTGCCTGGCCATTACCTTCTGCATTAGTGTCAGGTATTTCCTCTTTCTTGCAAATTTCATTGGCAAATAAAATAACATGATTTCCAATGTCTAAGCTATCTTCTTCTTTTATAAGGGTTGGCTGCACAGTAGATGTGGGGAAATGTTGCTGGACTGAAACTATGAAAGCGTCTGTATGCAATAGGTATGAGTCAATATTTTGGTGCACCTTGTCAATAGCAGTGTCTTGGTGTACCCTGACAACAGCAGTGTCTTTGTGCACCCTGTCAGTATCAGTGTCTTTGTGGGCCCTGTCAGTAGCAGCATCTTGGGACACCCTGGCAATAGCAGTGTCTTTGTGGGCCCTGTCAGTAACAGCATCTTGGGACAGCCTGTTGATAGCAGTATCTTGATGCACTGTTTCTATGATGTTGTTACAGTCCACTGGTATTGCTTGATTCCATTTAGATACTGAATCTTTTTTCGAGTCTTTAAAAATGTTATTTATTTCATTTTCTTGGTGCCTTAAATATGTGTCCAGGTTTTGGTGCACCAATGATGCAGCACTGTCTTGGTGCCCTAAGGTTGTGACCATGTTTTGGTGCACCAATGATGCAGCACAGTGTTGATGCACTTGAGCAACACATGGAGCAACATCTTTGACTAATTCATCAACATTTGTAACACAGATTGAAAATTCAATATCCTCACTAGATAAAACACCACTTCTGCCTTCTGACAAATCATGCCCTTTTGTCACTTCACATTGGCCTTCTGACAAATCATGCCCTTTTGTCACTTCACATTGGCCTTCTGACAAATCATGCCCTTTTGTCACTTCACATTGGCCTTCTGACAAATCATGCCCTTTTGTCACTTCACTTCTGCCTTCTGACAAATCATGTCCTTTTGTCACTTCACTTCTGCTTTCTGACAAATCATGCCCTTTTGTCACTTCACTTCTGCCTTCTGAAAAATCATGTCTTTTTGTCACTTCACTTCTGCTCTCTGACAAATCATGTCCCTTTGTCACTTCACTTCTGCCTTCTGACAAATCATGTCCCTTTGTCACTTCACTTCTGCCTTCTGACAAATCATGTCCCTTTGTCTCTTCACTTCTGCCTTCTGGATGCCCTTTTGTCAACTCTATTTGCTCATCAGATTTTGAATACATAAAATGTTCATGCCCTTGGTTAGGATTTAATTCTTCGTGAACGACAATCAAATCTTGATTGTCTTCAGGACCAACATCTTGCATCTCATCTTTTGCTATAACTACATCTTGTCCGTTTCCCATATGCCCAGAGTCGTTCGGTCTCAGCATTTCTAGCAGCAATTGATGGCCATCAGGACGTCCACTTTCAGCGAAGCTTTCAACTCCTTGTCCTAAACTTGGCAAGGAAGCTCCCTTCGTTTGTTTCTGATCATGGTGAGGGAGAAGGAGATATTGGGAAAATGCTGTGGCCGCCAGTTGGCTCAGAGACAATCTATAAATAGAATATGGCACATGAGAACTGAAAGGAGTCATAGTATAATTATAAAGTGTTTTCAAGTTTTTCATGGCAAACACAGGGATGGGGGATATAAGCTGTTTTCTTGCCTCTATGAATCCACTACTTTTATAGAAAGTCTTTCATGGAAGTCGGCCAATCTGATCTATGATCCGCAAGATACATTTCAATCATTTTTCTTACACAAGTTTTATCATTTATCCACTAGCCATAGTTAGGGTCCTAGAAAAAAATTGTTCTGTTTATTTCATGGCCTAATTCAGAGCTCAGCAACCTTTTTTACTTGCGTTGCACATCCTTGGCCTTTCCAAGAATTCTGCAGCACATCAAAAAACATACAAAAATATACTATATCACTTTATATAGCTAACAATAAAAAATGGCATGTAAAGCTAAAAGCAATCTTTATTGATTTATATTAATCAGATAACGCTTTATTTCTCCATGTATTAATCAGATGACGCTTTATTTCTCCATGTATTAATCAGATGACGCTTTATTTCTCCATGTATTAATCAGATGACGCTTTATTTCTCCATGTATTAATCAGATGACGCTTTATTTCTCCATGTATTAATCAGATGACACTTTATTTCTCCATGTAATAATCAGATGACACTTTATTTCTCTATAAATTAATCAGTTGACACTGTCTTGCTCTATATTAATCAGATGACACTGTATTGCTCGATGTTAACCGTCTATATTGGAGAATGGCCCAAGTAACAGGCTAAAACCAATTTCCCTTTTGTAGCACCACAGTTTTATTTTATTTACAAGCCTACTTAGCGCGACACACCTGGATTAATATCGCAGCGCACCTGGCAGCATTTTGCTGCGCTCCAGTTGCAGAGCTCTGGCCTACTTAATAGGGTTGAAATTCAAAATTTTTTTTTCAAATGTTGGACTTTGTCTCTACCATTACTTCTCTATGGAGATTTTGAAAGATAACAACTCTTATTTGTATTTTAACTAATGAGGTTTTTCTAAATATCTATTTTTTAAATATTAATTTTGCATGAGTATCTATTCTGTCAAAATATCTATATTGATTGAATAATTATTTTGTTAAATTATCGATTTTGTTTAAATATTTCCATTTTGTAAACATCCTATCTTGACTAAATATATCTATTTTGCTTAAATGTAGAGTACAAAAATATTTTATGATACCCCAATTTAAATAATCTCTACTTTAGTTACACGTAGTGTGTAAAAAGCACAAGATGATGGAGCACATACTGGTCTGCCAATGAGACAACGTCCATTTGTCCTGTATCTGGAACCAGGATCTGGCCAGCATAGATGAACCTGAGCACACACAAAATACTCTCTTCCTTGAACTGGCTCAAGTTGATGATGCCCATCTCACCGTCATCTTTCACCAGCTGGGGAACAAGAGATCATATGGTTAAAGGTCTTTGATAGTACATCTCACCTTCATCTTTCACCAGCTGGGGAACAAGAGATCATATGGTTAAAGGTCTTTGATAGTACATCTCACATTCATCTTTCACCAACTGGGTAACAATAGATCATACGCTTAGGCACGGTTCACACTATCAAATTTTCCTTCAAACATGTGATGCAATTCGTGTTTGACGGCACTATTTTGTGTGCGGATTTATGGACAATATTTTCATTCACGTGACTTTACAGCTGATTTCTCAAAATGGCAGCGATTCAAGCAAAGTGCGCTGCGATTAAAATTTTTGAAAACAAGTTCTGGTCAAGTTACTCACAACTTTGAAGGATAAATGCCATTTTTGATACTCAAACTTGGCTTAATTTATATTTCACCACCAGAAGCCTGGCAGCTAAAGATTGCTTAGACGATGGGCCCTGATAATTTAAAGAAATGAAGAATGGTAAGACTGGTAAGTTGAACTCGTCGTCAGTCATGGTTCATAATACATATGTAAATATGGCATTGTCATATTAGTTTAATTTAATTCATATTAGCTTAATTTATTCATATATATTTAATATTAAAAAAATGATAGGTCTATAAAGTAATATAGTCATAGTACTCATTCTCAAAGTGGACATTGCATCCGCATAGTCAGAGGAAATTTAAGCAATTTATTAAATTATGAAAAATTAATATAATATAATAACAGTATAAGTATAGTAGTAAGTAGTAACACTATCACTGAATATTATTATAGACCCACTAAATAATAAATTATTATGCGTATAATTATTAAGCTAAGAAACTAAGTATAATACTTATACTACAATTGTGTAAGTAGCCTTTATATTGTATAATATTTAGTACAGTAATAGTAATACTGGCAATAGGCTATTATAGTTTATATAGATATTACCATGACTATGACATACTAATAAATATGCCCTTTTATAATTGATAGTGAAAAAAATTAGATAATGAATCCTAATAACAGTTGAGTATACTAAGACTAATAGTAATACTAATATTAATATTTACAGTAATAATACATCCAACAATAATTTTTCACCAGTCTAGTTCTAATAAAGTGTCATTCATATTCACAGGCATAAAATGGGTTATAAGTTATATGTAATGTAGAAACTTAATTGTTTTATTGGAACTACAATAATTCTTTTAATATTATATATTATTAATGTATACACAAAGATAATTTAAAATTATAATAATTTTGACATTTGTAGCCAGTTGCTTAAGTAAAAATTTAAATTTCTTAAATATTAATGATTATAATAAATGACACTTTTTTTAAAATCACAATACAATCTCATTACCATATGTGATCTCCATTGAGACCAATTTTATATTATCATTAAATAACTAAAATGAAAATAACTATCTTTCGGGTAAAAATATACAAAATGTTTAGTAGAAAAAACATGATTGCAATTTTAATAATGAAATTTTGTCCTTATTATTATTAAAGTTGATATAAGGTTTTCCCCACTTTGGGTGTAACCACCCTAAAATGGTGCGAATGGGCACTTTACCACCCAACTTCTATCAAAATAATCCATCAGGCACTTTGCCCCTCTTCTTCTATTAAACTAATTCATCAGGCACATTTCCACTCAAAATTTCCACTCAAAAAAGGTGGCAGCCTCAATTTAACATAGAAAAATTTAATTATTAGAATTTATAATTGAAAACCAATGATACAAAGATGGGAGGCTATTGATTAGTCTTACTCTTTCCACCAAAAGCTTGAATAAATTAGAAAATTCCAGATTTCAATTACTTTATTGTCTGCATTATGGTTCAAACAACATATATGTAATGTATGATAACTGGGAAATATAAACGTATAGACTTTAAAATGAGTAGTAGTAGTAGTTTGGGGCGTCCATTAATGACGTCAACAAAATAGGGGGGAGGAGGTTTGGAAATGTTTTACAGTTGTTGACAGGGGGGGGGGGGGGTGTAGATTACATCAACCTTTTAATGGATTCTGCATTATAA